ACATCTCTTCGCAGTGCCAGTGAATCGAGCCGATTGGAAACTCGATCTCGACGATTCAAGCCACTCTGCGCTGGATGCAGTCAAGTGGAAGGAGCTGTTAATGGAGAGCCCCAGCCCAGAGATGGGAACAGTATTCCATGTGCGGCCGAACTTGCGCCTTGTAAAGTTGCAGGCGGTGTGCCGGCATGAATACTGTCCCTCTCTGCTAAGCACGCCAAGCTTTTTAGAGGCCAATTTGGCCTTCTTTTCCAAGTAACCACGAAATTGCACGTCACTGGGGAGAGTGCCTTGAAACTGAGGAGATACGACAAAGGGGTTTTTTTTAGCGGTTAACGCGCAAACTTGTGTCTCTGGGGGTTCAACTGGACTGTTTAGCAAAGACTCGACATCAGACACAAGTTTGTCCCGGTACTCGGAGACGTTTTCCCGAGAAATATTGGCACAGCCGGTGTAAAGAGCATCAGCAGTGCTGTCATCTGCAATGATTGTTACGGGTTTGCAACATATCATTGATATGCAGAAGAAACAGCGTTGGCGATAGCATGCAGCCTTGTGGAACACCAGCATTAAAAGGCTTGTAATCGGAGCTTGCACCGTCTACAACAACCTTGATGCTCCGATCTACAAGAAAGCTGGTGATCCAATCGCACAATTTCTCGGGAAGCCCATAGGAAGGGAGCTTCGAAAGAAGCGCTTTGTGCCAAACCCGATCGAAGGCCTTCGCAATGTTCAAACTAACGGCCAAAGCCTCCCCCTTGGACTCTACTGCCTCCGCCCATCTGTGAGTAAGGTAGACCAGAAGATCACCAGCTGACCGACCACGGCAAAAACCGTATTGGCGATCACTAATCAGCTGGTGATCCTCAAGGTACCTCATGAGCTAACAGTTAACAATAGACTCCATTGTTTTGGAGAAAAGGAGGTGATGGCGATAGGCCGGTAGTTGGACGGGTCTGAGCGGTCGCCTTTTTTTAAGGATCGGGTGGACGAAAGCCATCTTCCGTGATTTTGGGACTACGCCCAGGGAGTAGGAGTACCGGAAAAGACGCGTTAAAACCGGTACCAACTCTGGAGTACACGTCCTCTGTACAATTGGGGTATTTCATCAGACCCACTCGACTTGTGGATGTCCAGGGAGAGGAGTGCTTTGCGAACCGAGCGCTGTGTGAACTGCAATTCCAGCATGGAGCACTCACGAAGCGGGATGGTCGGCGATGTACTCCCTCTGTCATCGAGAGTCGAGTTGGACGTAAAGAATGGCTTTCTCCTTTACGGTATGCGCCAGTGAGTCGTCCACTCTGTGCAGAGATGGAAGAGATGGCTCACTGGAATTCCCCTAGACAGCCTTGGCGAGAGACCAGAATGCACGGGTTCCAGAAGGAAGACGAAATAGTTTCTCGCCAATTCCGCCTATGTGCTCTGACTTTGCCGTGGCAATGACTCTTTTGAAGGACTACTTTTACGGATTTTATCGCGTTTATTTTTACTTTTTATTTTTAATTCCCGACGTTTCGGGCGCTTTCAAGCACCCATAGTCACGGGGGACTGAGATGTCTGACGTCCCGATGTCATTGTTAAACCCGGAGTACCTTCAGCTTTTTTAATTATTGTTTATGGTCCGATCTATGCAAAATGAACTGACTATGTCCTGAGGTCTTGCAGTGGTATGCTTGGGTTAAGTTTTAATTTTATTGATTATAGGATCCCAAGCAGGTGGTAGTAACCAGCCTCCTTCTCTATTGAAATTAGGATGTTTTTTAATTTCAATAGCCTCACGTATCATCCTTGGTAGGAATCGGTGTTCTTTCGCGAGGATTTGTGGTCTATCAAATCTGATGTAATGGTTGGGGCCGTCTAGGATATGATCACAAACTGCAGACTTCCCGGAACGTTGATGCTTCACATCAGCTATATGTTTTTTTACGCGGGTCCTAATTGATCTTTTGGTATTTAATAAGTAACAATCTGTTATTATAATGATTCCTTTACCTATCTAAAACTACTGAAAGAAATAAATTTAACCTTTGGATCAATTACCTAATAAAAGCAAGTTTAATTTTTTTTAATAGAAGAGGGAGCAAACGAACATGCGGCTCACCTGATGGTGACTACCGACGCCCATGAACAACTGCATTACCAGGGGAATTGCAGTTGCGTTGCCGGTCCTTAAGAAATGAGTAAGATCTTTTTTGATGGTCCTTAGGTCGTATCAAGGTGAAAAAATCACCAGTGGTAAACAATTAAACGGAGAGGTTGTACAAGGAAGAAAACTTCTGGTAAAACGATATGTAGTGGACCGCCAAGCATGCAGATGGTGTGCTTGGTATCGTGAGTTTTAAAGCGAAGTACATTTGTAAAATTTGGAAGCTGGAATTAATTCGAACAATTCCTCAGATTACTCCTGTCGTAGATGCAATAGAAAATGCAAAGGGACGGAACATATATTCACAGCGCCAGTGATCCGAGCCGATCAAAAAGAACTCGTTCGTTGACGATTCGAGATGTTCTGCGCAGTATGCGAATAAGTAAAAGGAGCTGGCACTTGGGTGCCGCGGCGCAGAGATGAGAAGAGTATTCTATGTGAGGCCGAACTTGCGCCTTGTCAAGTTACAAGTGGTGTACTGACATGAAATACTGTCCCGGTCTGCTGAGCATGCCAAGTTTTATAGAGGCTATTTTGCATTTTCTTCCAAGTGACCACGAAACTGCACACTTTTCGATATGTCGACGCTGAGGATTCCAATGCTAGCTGTGGCAGCTATGGGAGTGTCTTGAAACTGAGGAGTACGACAAAAGGGTTCTCTTTAGCGGTAAACGCACAAGCTTGTATAGGGGATTGAACTAGCCCAGATTTCGTCATACACAATCCGATACTTTGCACAACAAAGTCTCAACTTCAGTCACAAGTTTGTTCCACCACTTGGCGACGTTTTCCCGAGAAATATCGGCACAGGCGGTGTATAAAAAAAGCACCAATGCTGTCGTCCGCATAGCAATGAAAGTTACCTGTTTGCAATCGTAGTGACTTGTAGTTGGAGGCCTACTGCGACCATTATGCTCCGATCTGCAAAAAGCCCTTTTTTTTGTGTCGAACCCGATCGAAGGCCTTCACGATGTCCAAACTAACGGCCAATGCCTTGGACTCTACCGCCTCCGCCCATCTATGGGTCAGGTAGACCAGAGATCATCAACTGATCGACAAAGATGAAACCCGTGTTAGCGATCACCAATCATCTGGTGATCCTCTAGGTACTTAACGGAATGACATTTTATAATGTTTTCATTATTTTGTAGAACAAGGTGGGCATGGCGATAGGCCTGTCGTTGGACGGGTCTAAGCGGTCGTCTTTTTAGGGATCGGGTGTACCAAAGCTGTCTTCTATGAACTCGGGACTATGTTTTCGGAGTAGGAATACTGGAAAAGATGCGTTATAACCGGTGCCAACTACGGAGCATACGTGTTCAGCACAATGGGAGGGACTCCATCAGGCCCACCCGGCTTGTTGACATCCACGGAGAGCGAAGTGCTTGGCAAACCGAGGGCTGTGCGAACCGCACCGTGGGATGGTTGGCAGTGTGTTTGAGATTCGAGTTGAATGCAAAGAGAGAGAGCTTAACAGGTCGGCTTTTTACTTTGCCGCATTGGCCAGTGAGTAGTGCTCTCTGTGCAAAGATGAAAGAAGTGGCAGACAGAAGTTCCCCTGGATAACGCGGACAGAGCCATTCTGCGTGATAGGCGTTAATATCGCCAAAGGTCACGATTTCTGTGGACGGAATCTGCTGTAGCAAGAAATCTGTAGCCATTTGGGCGTGGGCGATGAGTCGGTCTGTTTCGGCATTATCGCTATGGAATATAAAGGAATGTTGCAATTTTATCTCGAGTAGGAGAGATACAAAGTATGAGCTGGAGACGACACCTGAATCTTGGTCAGAAAAAGCAAGGTGGGCTTAGACGTCTCCAGACGGAAATGGACGGCGTTTAAGTTCGAATGAAGTCCCATGATGCTGCAGAAATTCAGGGATAGCGTGGCAGGAGTAACCTTGGTCTTGTTGCTCGGTTTGGCCCGAGCAGTGTTTGTGTTGAGCGTAATTCCCCCCCCCTCGAGAATACTAAGGGCAGCCTGAGCACTTGAGCAATTACGCACGGAGTGGAGTAACTTCAAATTATAACATTCTACATTACCAGGTGTTCTGGTAGCCTTCTGATGTAGTTTTTATTATTTTAAATTGTTTTGTTATTTGTTAGCGATTTCTAGTTGAAGAAATATTATTGTACAGAATTCTTGTAGCATTCAAATTTAACATATTTTTTAGCTTGGTTAGTTCATTACTGTTGTATATAATTACTGTTAGTTTGATGTCTAAAAGATCGCTTTAATTTTCGGTCTTTTTTATTAATCGTACGTGTATAAATGTAACCTAGGGGTCAGTTCACACTAAGGCCCGACGCATCACGATGATGCTCGAAGAGACCCGTGGTTTCGCTTTGTGCACGCAATGTGACGTGACGAGGCACATCTTGAAGTTGCTGGCAGCGCACTGTTCTTGCATTCTACGCCTACCAACGAAGCACCACTGCGTCGTGATTCGTCGTGATGCGTCGCGCTTTGCAACGAGGCATCTCAAGGCGCAACGTATCCTAGTACGACGTAAATTTTGTTGTTTGTGTATCATTATCTTAAGAAGTGCATGCCGCGTCGCGTCGCAACACGGCTTGGTGTCATGACACGTGTTCGATCGATTGAATAACACACATATATATATATATATATATATATTAAATAAAACGGTCAAATTCAATCTCAATTAAAACTTTCAGCGTTTAACGAAGACGTAATGCAAAAAGTAATTATATGCTAACTATTGCATAAAAGACACAAGCACACTCAAGACTCATAGTTCAAAATCATAATGAACTAAAAAAAGGGAGAGAGTTAAATAGATGATAAAGGTAGAATAAGTAATTTTATAGATGAACAACATAATATAGTTATATTTACCGAACACGTCTATGCATCCGATTTGCCAAATCATTGTCGGTTGTGTATTTATCTGGCACATGTAGCAACCACGATCTTCTGCTCGAAGTGGTCGGATGCGAAGTTGCCATGTTTGTGGTGCGTCCAAGTTGACAGTGTAACGAGGACCTAGTACTGCCCGATCGTGCATTGTTAGTACCGTCTGATCCTCTGCACGGAGCCACCCCACCTGTACAAACAATCGCTTGCTTAGTACAAATACAATCATATATAAAATAATTAATAGTTTTTTTTATAGATTAAGGGTGCTTTACCAGTACACAGCCGGTTTAGTGGTAACCCATAGACGCCTACATTTCCTTCGATGAAGAATCAAAATGTAAATGCGTTGTCACCCACGGGGCTGAGGTAGAATGCCTCGTTACTAGGAACGAGAGAGACGTTAAAATCCCAATCTATTCTAATTTTCTCCACCTTACATCCATCTCTCATGCTTGCAATTATGGAAATGAACCAATATTAGGTAATATATGAACGAGGCTTATGGCTTATGTTCAATAGTGAACCGCGATGAGCTGTAATGAAGAACAATTTATGTCTTCTAGATCAAGCGTAGGTCAACATTCCACAAGAACAGAAAAGGATTAGAATTATTTGCCAGCCTCAGACTTTCTGAATGTGTACAACGTAGATGTCCTCAAAGAAATAGTGAATAGCCTTTTGTTGAGCTAACATACCTGGCATCGTAGTCAAGGTTGGTCACAATAAATATATATTAATTCTGTTCGACTGTTGTTTATCACGACTCGTATTTATTGCGTTGAATGAACGAAGGATCTATTTCACTCAAGCACAATAATACTTACTTCAAGTCACCTCTGGGAATAATCAACTTTTTTGTTTGGATGGGATCAAGGGTAGGAAAAGTAGCGCTATTTATATTTAGAATAATTATCATGGATCATTTTTTTATAATTTTTTTAAAAATTCAAGATTTATTGATAAAATGTAGTATATCCTGGCGTTGCACTCTATGTGTACGTGTTGTTTCATTACAATAGGTTCAGTCATACCAAAGATAAGCTCGGACAGACAGACAGATATTAATTTTGAAAATGATAGCTCACGTCTTAATGGCATGCATATAAAGCCCCCAGCCCAATAAAAGACTACAGACAGACACTTCTACTTTACATATATATATATAGATACGAGCAGTAGTTATTTGTTTGTAATTGAGTTTTCGAAAACGATTCTACGACGGCTTCGATATCGATGAAATTTACAATAATGTAGTTTTCACATAAAAAGCAACAAACTTAGCGTAACCACGCAATATTAATAATAATTGATCATTTCACAGAATAATCGTATTCTCAATAGCCTAACGGCTTGGTATTTTACTATGCCGGAGAACGCGAGTTGGGATCCTGCAAAATGATCAGTTCTTTTAGTTTTAATATTTTAATGTATTCTAACCCACACGGCCTACTACTGGAGAAAAATAAATAATTTGAGACTAATAAAAGTCGTTTGCTCTTATATTTTATAGAATAATCATTATGGTATTTTAATGAAAATAATTATTTTGTCGATAAGGAATCAACATATTTTATCTATGCATCAAGTTGTATGAAGTTTAAATAAATATTTTATATATTTTTCGAATAATTGCATAAGGGAAGTATAAATATATTATGTGTATGTAGGTAATTGGTTTATCGGAGAATGCTCTAATAATTTTGATGACATTTTGTAATCATATGATGTTTTTTAACGTTCAAAATTTATTTAAGTAAGTGTCATCCTCTATATTATTATTATTATTATATATATATATATTTATTACTGTTTAATAAATAGTTAAAGAAAAATATTTTTGTCATAAAAACTCAATTAATTGTCGAAATTCTTTATCATGTTAACCAAAAACCACCCTTAAATATATTCACTTATGATTACTTTATCCATGTAACCGAAAAAATGATCAAATGAAAACTTTAAATTCTAATAGGAGTTGTACTTACAAGAAAGTAGTTATATTCACCGTAGAAGTGTTTTCATATCTAACGTTACAATAATTAATGTCCCTTAATTCATAATTTTTTTTAAATTAAATTTAACAACAACTCATTTATCATTATGCTATACTGTTTACTATATTTGTCTACCTATACTAAATGTATAGCCACAAAATAAACGATTTCCTTTCTTTGATTATAATTAGTACCCGGTTGACCGAGCTTTGCTCGGCATTTTCGCTTGGTTTTTTTTTAATTCGTGTATTTTGGAAATTATATTTAGATACAAATTACATACTGATTAAATACGAATAATATTTTTTGATCATAGCGACATAATAGAACAAACTGAACTGGTTATTTGAGTAAAAAATCATGAGTGCAATTAGTTTAAATAAAATTTTAGTGTTTTTAAAAAATACTAAAAAAGGGCTCAAAAAAATAGATTTTCTCAAAAAAGAAAAGAACTTGAAAAAAAATTAAAAAAGTCGGTCGGTCTGGGCTCGAACCATGGTATCACGATTTTGTGACCGCCCAATATACCAATCAAGCTATTTATGATCATTAATAAACTGTCAAAATTTACCTTCTTATTCTAACGATATTGTAACAGTTTTTCATTGCCTAAAAACACGGACAAAAAGACATTTTCTAAAAATAAATCCTAGCTAGATCGATTTATTGCCCCCGAAACTCCCTGCACACAAAATTTTATGAAAATCGTTGAAGCCGTTTCCGAGATTCCGATTATATATATATACACAAGAATTGCTCGTTTAAAGGTATAGGATACGAGTAACTTAAGTAGAAAATTATAAAATCACAGAAAAAAAGCTATGATCTTCAAATGGCTGAACCGATTTTGAGAAAACATGTCTTCTTAGACCGCTAGAAAACCTGCTTTTAAATAAAAACCGCCATCGGTTTGAGAGCTACGGTGCTACAGACACACAGAAAGGTAGACACACATAAGGGTCAAACTTACTACACCCTTCTTTTTCGGCGGGAGTTAAAAATAATGAAACAGTTCCAATGTGCTCCACAGTTGGCACTGTTTCTAACGCGTCTTTTCTGGTAATCCTACTCCCTAGGTTTAGTCCCGGCATCATAGAAAACAGCTCTCGTGCACTTGATCCCTTAAAAAGGTAACCGCTGTGATCCGTCCCACTACAGGCCTATCGCCATTACCTCCTTGTTCTCGAAAATAATGGAGTCCATTATTATTAACTGCCAGTTTATGCGGTACCTTTAAGAGCACCAGCTAATTAATGACTGCCAGTACGGTTTCCGTCGGGGTCACTCAACTGCCAGTCTTCTTGCTTATTAAACACACCGAAGGAAGTAAGTGATCGAGTCCAAGGGGGAGGCTTTGGCGGTGAGTTTGGACAAAACGAAGACCTTTGATCGGGTTAGAATACTAGATATTAAAACTAAAATAACTGACCACTTTGCAGGATACCAACTCGCGTTCTCCGGCATCGTAAAATAGCAAGCTATTGAGAATAAGTTTATTCTGTGAAAAGATCAATTATAATATTGCACGGTTACGTTAAGTTTGTTGCTTTTTATGTAAAAACCCCACTATTGTAAATTTCATCGAAATCAATAGAGCCGTCGTTGAATCGTTTTACGATTAGAAAACTCAATTTCAAACATATAACTATTGCTCGTATCTATAAACATAAGTAAAGTGGAAGTGTCTGTCTGTAGTCTTTTATTGGGCTAAGGGCGTTATATACATGCCATTTAGACATGAGCTATCATATTCAATATTAATATCCGTCTGTCTGTCTGAGCTTATCTTTGGTATGACTGAACCGATTGTAATGAAACATCGCGAACACATAGAGTGCAACGCCAGGATATACTACATTTTATCAATAAATCTTGAACTTTAAATAAAATTATACACTCCATTTTATCCATAAATCTTGAAATTTTAATAAATTATAAAGAAAGGGTCTTTGATAATTATCTTAAATATAAATAGCGCTACTTTTCCTACGAACAAAAAAGAGAAAACAAAGCCCCCAATAAAAAAAAAAAAAAAAAAAAAAAAAAACCTTGATCCCATCCAAACAAAAGAGTAGATTATTCCCAGAGGTGACTTGAAGTAAGTATTATTGTGCTTCAGTGAAATAGATCCTTCGTACTTTCAACGTAATAAATACGAGTCGTGATAAACAACAGTCGAACAGAATTAATATATTTTTATTGTGACCAACCTTGACTACGATGTCAGGTATGTTAGCTCAACAAAAGGCTATTCACTATTTCTTTGAGGACATCTACATATACACATTCAGAAAGTCTGAGGCTGACAAATAGTTCTAATCCTTTTCTGTTGTTGTGGAATGTTGACCTACGCTTGATCTAGAAGACATAAATTGTTCTTCATTATAGCTCATCGCGGTTCACTATTGAACATAAGCCTCGCTCATATATTACCGAATATTGGTTCATTTCCATAAATGCAAGCACGAGAGACGGACGTAAGCTTTTTTCATACCTACAAAGCGTTAAATATAAATACATATAACGTTTTTAGATAATGTTCAAAAATATGCAGGACCTATCTAAAAAATAGAAGTCGGAAATGTTTATTTATCAAAAGTTATTTCACAGGGGTTGTTATACCACTAAAGAGTATAGCATTAATAATAACACCTGGAAATTGGATGATTGCTACCACGTTGTTTATAAATGTTATCATACATAATTGTTATAAAGTATTATATATAGTAAATTAATTCTAAAAATAGTCCCGCTGGGTTTCTTGCTGGATGTTCTTAGGATAGTTTTTTTCCAAACCAAACTAATAAATATGATCCTATTTTATTTTATTAATTCTTCTTAAAACAATTGGTGGAAAAGTATCAATGTAATGGAGTTGAATTATGTGTTTTGACAAGAAAAGGGATGTACAAATATTATCTTTATATTTCCTGCCTAGAACCTATTCCAATTATACCGGTACAGCACACTGTAATGTAAAGTAAGCAGCTCGTGTATTTCATCGTTGTTCTGTGTCTTTTATTTTCCTTTCACGGTATGATTTCTTTTGTTCTTCTTTTTCGATTAGTGCCTAGTGTTGAGAATATTTTCATTCTCTTTTTTATGAAAGTTAAACAATAAAAGGAATCAGAAATGTTTGAAGTTATGCTAAAGATTATCTTATTTAAACTTAGTCAAACTTTACTTAGGTAAACTACTAGTATTATATTTAGTACTAGCAATCCGCCCCGTGCAAAGGCACATGTGATTTCTGGATCTCAAAAATAGCGCCACCTCCTCGGTCCAATTGTAAATGTATACCATCCCGGGACTCACTCAAACACACACAAAAATGTCATAAAAATCGGTCCAGTATTTTCGAATTTTTGCGAGACTAACGCATAACAATCAATTTTTATATAAAAAGATTGGTGTAGTCCAAAGAGGTCCGTGTTTAAAAGTGGACTATTATAAACTAATAAAGGAAATAATGAAAAGATAAAAATGCGTGTGCATATGGATTTATGACGAGTTTACTCTCTGATGGCCCTATGTGAAAGGTAAGGGCCACTTAGCGAGCAATAGAAGAGGTAGAGCTTTTCTGCGTGACAGACATCGTAATGAAGATATCCGTAATAGAATCAGATTAACCAATGTAACCCAACGAATCAGTAAGCTGAAGTGGAAATTAGCCTGCCATATAGCCTGAAGAACCGAAAAGCGATGGGGAAGAAAGGTTCTTGAGTGGAAGCCTTACATCGGTATGTGAAGAGTAAGACACCCCTCCCCTAATAAATGGAGTGACTATCTGGCAAGGGGATGCAGGAAGTCAATGAATGCAGTTTGATCGGTAGCATGTTATGTGACATAGTCTTGAAGAGGCCAATATTCAGATTTGGACCTTAAATCGGCTGTTAAGATTTTTTTTTGATTGATACTTGGTTCAACCCACCAACTATATAAGTTATTTTTCACCGTTTCACCGGGAAGTCGATTAATTTATTATGTATATAATAAATTAATCAAATCCTCTCAAATCCTTTGTGTAGAGGATCGATCATGGTTTGATTGATGATCATTTTGTAACAGAAATAAATAAAAAGAAACATGGTGAGTTTTGACTAAAAAAATTTACAGCGTACGCCGAAAAATATTTAATTTTTCCGATGCTTAAGTGACAAACAAACTAATAGTTCACTTGATGCATGTCAAGAACGTGCCAAATGAAAGTCCGTGGTCACTATCTACTCCTCTGGGTGACAGGCGTGATTGTTTATGTATATATAATTTTAGTGACATTTTGCAGCCCATGATGACTAGCAACCAAATTATAAATAAGTGCCACAAATGCATTGCAATATAATATTAATAATTATATTGTGCCTCTGCCCTCGAAACCCTAGCCAGTATAATAAAGATATTAATAGTTACTTTGCAACTATCCACTCAAATTAAATAAAATGATGTGTCTTGCCTAGTTTGAAGAGAACCTCCCGCCCTCCCTCAATTGCGTACACTAACCCCGTCACCACTAATCCCAGCACCACTACTCCCAACACCACTCTAATATATATAATATCTATTCTATATAATATATAAAATATAAGATCTATTAGTTTAATCTTAAAACTAAGATTATGGGAGACACTGAAGAAAATCTATTTCGAAAGTAAACTAAAGTAAATTCAGTAACACAAACTATGCTCATCGTTGTTACTTGGTGTTATGGTAATAAACTTAATGAACCTCTATTAATTTTGTGCTAATATCTCAGACAAAGTTACGGTCATCACGTGAACCGCGCCGCGCCATTTATCAACTTAACCGTTAAAGTTTAAAGCTTTACTCACATTAATTTTGATTTAGATTTACACGCGATTTACACACAAAAATTGTACCCAAAATCTCGGTCCCGAAATATATTATAGCTAACTTACACTATAGTATACATAATGTTATACTTATAAACGTACTTATTTTTTGGTACTTACCCGTTCAAGTATTAAAGGAGTTATTCTATAATTATTTCTTATATTTAGGTGAATACTACACATTAAATGAAACTGATTTTACAGATTTTATCGCGTTTAATTTTAACTTTTTAATTCCCAACGTTTTGGATATTACTCTAATAGAAAATATAGCTGACGTGAAGCACCGAAGACCGATGTTTGCATGTCTGTAAACATGTTCAAAAATGTCCTCGCAAAAGAACACCCTATTCCTACCAAGAATGATTCGCGAGGTTTTTGAAATTTGAAAACATCCCAATTTCAATAGAGAAGACGGATAAAGTACATCCTAAGCAGATTGGTGCTACCTATCCTATAATTACTAAAATTAAAACCGACCCATGCATATCACTGCCAGTCTTCAAAAACTGTAAGCTCGTTCTGCGTAGATCGGAACAAAAATAAATATCCAAAAGCTGAAGATAGCCGGTCTTACTCCAACGTCCGAAATGTCGATAGTTAAAAATTTTAAATAAAAGACGACAAAATACTTTAAATTAGATAACTTAATGTAGTAATGTTACGTAAAAAAAAATAATTTAACTTAGCATACGAATTCAACAACAACTGTTATGTGATATAAGTTAGATGTAAAACGGTTACCAAGAAAACTGACGCATTATCATTTATTTGCAGTAGGCGCTATTGTCACGTACACTAGTATGCCATTAGATGCGGTTAGTATGCGGTAGAATTCATTAAATAGACATCGAAATACCTTCTTGCTTATTCAACCAATGTATACACTGTTCGAACAAATATCTAAAGTCACCTAGAGTAACCTTTCATGTATAAGTACTTAAGTTAGACATTTTTAAATGCCAATTATACGAGTATAATTACATATTAAAATTAACCAGTCATTATTTTGGACACTGGATAGAGCACACAGTTAGAACAAACCAAACAAGAAAACTAAAACAAATATGTTATTTATTTTAGTTTTCTTGTTTGGTATGGGGAAGTTTATGTTGTGGTGCAAAAAATTAGTGTTTGATTATATAATGTTCGGGTGTTTATGTGGTAGAGCCACACTGCATATACATTATGGTGTAACAAATCGAAAATAAATCAGCTATCTTTTAAAATACTCCCACTAACCATCTATTTTGATTCTTATTCGAGGACAAATGTAGGTTTCTTTCGGCCACAGGATCCACTTACCATCAGGTGGACTGTGTTCGTTTGTCACCCTTATTCTACAAAAAAAAAATGAATGCACCTTTTAAACCAACGTCGAAAAAGTAAGACGTTCTACTTCGAAAGGAATTTCTAATGTACCTACTTGTATGTTAACCGATTGAACTTTTCCACCAACCAATTATGATTATAAAAACCGACCTCAAAAACTCACAACAATTAAATATTAAACATATAATGGCTTCTGAAGTCAGAGTTTTAATTATCCGATAGCACCAATTACAGAAGCTATGAATATGTGAAAATTACTTCATTCATTTTGGAGTTTACCCCATAGCAATAGATTTTATTTTTCAAAGATTCACCAAATTTTAAAACGTAAGTTATAATATACAAATAATGAAATAACATTATTACAATTTTTGAAAATACGAGTATGCAAGGCTTCACTTATTTTTGAAATTATCCCAAATTGAATCAGATTTATGGGTATCAATATTTTTGCCTACCGATCAACCCTTACGAATGTGTGTAAAATTAGTTAAATTAATGCATTACCACGCATTTCAAATTTAAAAGACAAAAGGGACATAATTTTTAAGATTTTTTTTAAAAGATTTTACTTCACCGTTTGCTTACATTACTTATTCTTAACCTCCTCTGCAAATTCGTCCTGTTATTGCAAAGTAACCCTGTATATAGCGAGGTAAAAAAATTAGATGAGCAGCGAAATCTAGTGTCGGAAAAAGTGAAGTCGTTAAATTGCAGCATAACCACACATCTTATACTGAACGCGCGTAAAGATAGCAACAATGGTTAAATTTATGTAATAGTAAAAAGTTATTAGATAAAAAATTAATTTATAATTTTAATGATTAAGACTAATAAATAGTTATTTTTTAACTCAAATACAAAGATATTAAGTTCACTTAATTTCTATCCATTAACTTTCAAAAATAATTTGTTCAGTACTATTACGAATTGTTTCCTTTGTATCAACGCAATAACAGACTGCTACAATATTCCATTATCATAAAATACTCGTGACTTTCGATTGCCGCAGAGTAAATAAATCCAATATGCCAAAGTATACTAACATTAGTATAATTTAATAAACATTGAATTGAGGAAAAAGAAGCAAATATTTTAGGGTGAATTATAAATATCTACATTGATTTTTATATTATTTGGGGACAAATAATAGTGATATCAAAATTTACCACGTATCATATCATATACATATCTCATTGTTATTATATTTTTTTGAATTTCAATGAATAATTTTTCTTTAGCACAAAAATGAAACGACAACAAATTTTGACTCTATCAAAAGATGCATGTTTATCGATGACATAGTAATGTACTTCGCTATTCAGGGTCGAGTTCCGAGAATAGCGAAGTACGTTACTAGATTACTTAGTTTTCTTTTTAACTCTTTATTTTATTTATTTTTAATAAGTTGTGATGTCAAATATATAATAACCAAAAATCATAATTAAAAAGCTGAAGGTACTCTGGGTTAATACTGACATCGGGACGTTAGTCATCTCAATCCTTCGTGACCATGGGTGCACCAGAAATTTCAGTAATTAAAAATCATATAAATTAAATGCGATAAAATCAGTAAAAGTAGTTTTATTAATTGTATTTAAATCATACTTACTTTATGTTTACCAAGATTAGTCACTGCACAACCAATTACTGCTTCCCTTCCGAGAAAGAACGTGTGGTTGCCAATAGGCCGCTCAAACTCTGGTTCTTCTGTTATCTTCTTGTTGGTAGTCTGGGAATCTGAAAAATATTTTTTTAATTGCAGAAAACAGGTTGTATTGAAATAAGCCATATTGAAAGAAGACAAGAAATCAATAATAGTAACAAAAGGATTGTGGTTGCCAACCCACGTGCCAAGCCTAGCATTTAGGGCAGGAATCTCAGCGAGATTAACTAATAAAAGATTCGGTGATCTATACAAAAACATACAAATACATGTAGGAGACCTGTATTGAACATCAGGGTTGCAATAAAGGCATCTTATCCCACGTACAATTCGTCTTAGTGACTGCGAATTTTTTTGTTGAAGAAGGGTTGCACTGTAAGCACGTTTCTTTAGGATTACAATCCCGTATTCTAATTAATGTACATAATGATGAATGTAACTTAATCAAGAAATACCACTGTAAAATTAAAGCTTTTTTAATTTTGAAGTACCATAGATAATTATGCGCCTTTTTTCTGTATCACATGTAATATACTTCATTTTTAAATAATCTTAAGGATTTACCCGACACAATAATCATATATTGTATCAGAGTTTAAGAGCGTCACCGTAAATTCCACAATACGCAAGTGGCTCGGGTTCGATCTCCGCTCGCACCAGTGAACTTTTATAAATAACTCATATGCTGGTACTTAATTTAAAAACTTTTAATGTATGAATCTACGTTTTTAAATTTTGTAAGTTTTTTTTTTCATTACCTGGAAGAGACTACTTTTAGTGATAAAAATAAGAGAAGAGCTGTGCTTAGGAGTGGAACGTATATAAGCTACAACTAACTTTCTTTACTTTTTATCTGCCCGTGACGTTCCATTACTAGTAACAAGTATTCCTCACTGTCAGGTTGGATTGTCATTGTTCCTTTTCATCGGTCTAGCTTATTTATTTCGTTTATTAAAGACTACTAAGTCTACATTGCCTGTCTTATAAATCCCTCTTACTAGCTACAGATAATATCCCAGTTATTCACTATCATTAAATCATTACAGCATGTAAAAAGACCACTGCTGAAAAAAGCCTTTTCCATAGTTTGCCTCATTAGGGTAGAATACGCCATTGGCAATCGCATTTGTATTCATTATTTTCAGTTGTTATTAGGGAGGTTATGTACATCTTAATTTTCATTTTCTGTCTGTTGCCTCGTATGACAACCACGGGATAATTAGGGGTAGTGAATATTGTAAAGAATTATGTATAATTAAAAACAACGTCATATTTTTTAGCGTAAGAACAAGTTATCATGTTTGTTACATTATTAAGCGAAATAGAAAAGTATAATATATCGACTTGCTTTACACCTGTGTGAAAACAAAATACACAAACGCGTTTAGTTCGTTCTAATCCGGTAACTTTTATTTTCCTAATGTATAAATTAACCTATTTATTAATATTAACCGTGGCCTTTTTGTAAACTATACTGAAATATTATAGAATATTATTTATTCCAAATTTTCTAGTAAAACTTATTGAAAGTTATTTTTTCTTTAACTTTATTTTATTATTACGATTTGTATACTTAATATACTAAAATAGTATAGAATATTATTAATTCCAAATTTTCTAGTAAAACTTATTGAAAATTATTTTTCCTTTAACTTTATTTATTATTACGATATAAAACATTGTCCAGGAAAGAACCAAACACAGACCCAGTGAAATTTTTAATAACAATTTACATTATATATTGGAAAGTTATTATTAAAAAATCTAAAGACCTTAATAATAATGTCTTCCTAACCGAATTTCGGTTACGGCAGCTATACTAAACGGAGACTAGCCATTTTTGCAAGACTATATTATAGTGCCCAAGTGTATGCGCGAACACAGGTGCATTCCCAATTTTCTCACGCTTATTGTTTGATGGGATGGTAATCTGACACGTTCGGAGAGGTATCAGGTGCAGAACCAACCGCTTTACGAGCTTTCCTAGGAACGGGGGTGAAACACCGCCAACATCATCACTCCGGGCTGCTGGCAAAAATTTCTTGTCAGAAAAACACAATAACTGATTTTTTTCATTTTTTTGATAGTGTTTACGACCTCTAGATCAACAACGCAGTCTAATAATTATACTTAATACATCTAGCTAAATAAAAAATATTCTTATTTAAAAATAATTGTTTTTTTCAAACTCAATTAATTGTTTTACAAAAGCTTAAAAGTTACTTTGATCCGAGCACCCGTAGAATCGCAGTTTACAAATTTTTAAAATCGTCATAGTTCGGTATGATTAGGAGAAGAACTTGAGTCCCCGTTCGTGCTATTTTACTTCATTCTTAATGAAACTAAAGTTCACAGCGCACGTGACCTTAAACAACCTTTAAACTTCTTACCTACTTCCAAAATTTATAATAACCTAAATTCAGTTTGACCCCTGGGGTAGGTTCATATTTATTTAACAATTGCAAATATTGTAAATGTTTCGCTTATTTACTATCTACATCGCCCTTTATTTACCTTCCTGCGTCGCTAACTAGATCATACATTTGTCTAATGCGGGTTCTACACGTGGTTTACGGTACGAGGTTGCCACTCAAGAACTTTCATTCACCATTGAATCACGGTTCTTCAAGCTATATAACTATATATTGGTAATTTTGATTCAACTGCGGGTATCTTTATTTCAAAGTCTCTATCAAATGCTCTCTCTTCTCTCTCTCTCTCTCTCTCTCTGAGCGTTCTCGAGCTTTCTCATACGGCCAGCAGTGAAAGAGCACGTTTGATATCCTTATGTCGTCATTAGCAACACAAACTGTTTGTATAATCTTGTTTTCTCTTGTTTTCAAGTTTTGAGGTAAACGTGACGAGAAGATGTGTCTCGTACGTAACCGAATCCAACGGAAAAAGTCCAGTCGAGTTGAATCCAGCGACTGATCTTTCGGTTGGAAGCTGTTCTTACCTAATTGGAAAATATATCTAAGGCAAATAAATTTGAGCGTTGTGCTTCCAACATCTACCGGTAAACGAATATCATGGACATCACACATCATGATCTTTGTCTTATCTAAGTTAATTTTAAGACGTAATAATAAGCTCTAAATTAGTTGGATCATTGAACGTACTGGTGAGTTACTCAAGCGTGATATATATTTTTAAAAATATCTTTGGACAAATCATGTCTGTTCAAAAAATGTAAGTTGGATGAGACACATTTTGTTAATACCACAACGCAACTTTATATATAAAATACCTTTATGGGTTAAAATTAAGTAAGATACTTTTAAATTACGAAGTAAGGGTGACAACCGAGCACTTAGTCCTCCTGATGGTAAGCGGATGTAATAACATCCACTTACCATCAGGATGATATTGGGTAACAACTCTTAGACATCTGCTTCTTTCTCGATTAAGAATCAAAAGGCATGTGAGTTGTCACACCTGAGGACTAATATAGAATGTCTCGTTTCCAGCAAAAAAAGTCACTGGTTTTCCACACATAATATAGGAAACACAGCACCACTGTGCTGCTATTTTACGCTGGTATACTGTGAGAACGGCTCTCCCCAAACAAATCGATCTATTTATGCTGTAACCATGAAATCTCTAACACGTATAGTATATTTAAAAATAATCTTTGAACGTAAGCTTAATTTTGTAAATCATAATAAAGTTGATGAAATTGACAATATATTATCGCAATCATCATTTTTCAAGGAATACCATAGCCATATCCAGTAATCACAATTCAAAACAGATATAAAAAAGCAGCTAAATAAAAAAAAACAGCGTATTGTAACAGAGAACGACACACAAAGGCAACGGTGGCAGTTCGCACCTGTCACCGAATGCTAATGCAGAAAACTGTTTCGAAGGTAAACTGAATTTTAGGTAAAATAAATTTTATGAAACCTTCACGAAAAGTTTTAACGGTTACGGAAGAATTGTGGTAACTGGCGGTATTAAAAGAAAAGTTAGAATAAATATTTAGCATGTAGTATCCAGTTTTAAAAGTACTGATTTACCATACGCTAGGCAGTGAAGTAAAATATCGCAAGTAAAACTGCTCACCTTAGCTTAAAGTTAGTATTCTTTATCGGTGAATAACAATATTTCGGCACAAGTGAAGTCTTCGAACCCATACCCATACAGCAGGGCACCCACTCAAATAATAGAAGAGGCCCGTACCCAGCATTAAGAATTATATAGCTTTTATCTTTTGCTTAACTTAGAATGTCCGATATGTCTCATATCTGCATGTATAATTTGATGTACTGAATGTCAATCAATACACACAAGGTGCATCTGTGCGTAAGTTTATATAGAAGTACGAGTATTGTTGCGGTAAGAGATAGTGTTTTTTTTTTTTAAATTTAATATGTACTGTTTATTTGTTCACCTTTAAATCTCAACATTAATATCTGACAACCGCGAGGTTTTGATGATTGATTATCTTATGTCTTATTGTGACAGATTTAGAGAATACATCTCTATAATTCGTTACGTGGGTGTCGCAAGAGGTGAAATGGTCTCAGATACACAGCGATATAATATCATCTGTTGCGACTGCAAGGTTTTAGTATAGCGATTGCTAATATTTCACGAGTGGTGGAGTCATGCTGCAACTATATTATCGTTGAATCAAAGCAAAGATCCGGTCAGCTCGACCGGAGATGAACCAAATTCTTACAAATTATCAGCGCAAAATAGAAGGTTAATTTTGCTGTTCCGAAGTCATTTGCAGGAGATTACGGTTTCCTATAACCTGAACTTTGGGTATTTTATCAGTCCATGTCCAAAGCAGTTGCAAGCAGTTTTAAAAGTCAGGTCTCTTTGCAAAATTGCGGCAATATTTCACGGAAGTAATGTTGCTTACATTATACATATAAAGCGCTTGTCCGGTAGTGCACGGGATATTACTGCTACATGTAAACTGGTGCTATAAAATGCCACCTAGCGGCTTGGACTCAATAGAAAGGCGCTTTATACCGCACCTTATTGGTGAGACTAGTATGGGTAAAACCATTGTCACCTGTCTCGAGTATAGGTGAAAATTAGCCCACTTTTCGGTGTTTTACAGAGTGTGCGCTAGATTTTCATGAGTTGATTCCTCTCTTTCCATTCCATCAGCGGACAACCAGGCGCTTGGCTAGTCTCCACATCTTTTTTGTCGACATACCACACATTCAAACCAAACGGTTTAATTCGCAGTTTCCAATGCGTACAGCAACTGTTACCGATACAATCTATTAAAGTCTACTGCAGAACATAGGCCTCACGCATAGATTAAGAGTAAAGAGTATAGCAAAAGAGTGGAATAATTAGTAAAGCAGTTGCTGCTCTTCGCCGATCAAGATATTTTATGTCTGATATAAACAAGATGGCATACAGCCAACTATTGGAAGCCATAAGAATTTTTTCGTATTTCCTATAGTCTACGACAACCGCGGGGTGAATATGACTGACGGATTCTTTTACAACTCACGAAATTTTAAATATCTATTCTCTTATTTGCAAAGTAAAAACTGTTAAATAATTAGTCTGGTAATATTTATGTTAATAAAATTAAAAAATACATTTTTGAAGAGCCGTGGTAGCTTAGTGGTTAACGCTCGCTGTAAATATAACAGAACGCGAGTAACCCGGGTTCGATCCCCGCTGGCACCAATAAAATTGTTAATTGCAATTTTAAGTGCTGATTTACCACGTGCTCGGCGGTGAAGGAAAACATCGTGAGGAAACATGCATGTCTGAGAAATAAGAAAAAAAAATATTTCGAAGACATGTGAAGTTCGTCAACACGCATTTGGGCAGCGCGGCGGACACTTCCTTGCCCTAAACCCTCTCAGAAATGAGGGGAGGCCTGAGCCCAGCAGTGGGACGTATATAGGCTGTAACTTTACTTTACTTTTACATTTTTGATAGAAGTTTTGTTTTAAAAAAAATCTTAGAACTACTCTGAATTGTATCATGGCTAGTTTTCAGCACTCAAACAGTTTCAGCAAAGATTTTGACATTCATAAGTGCTTTAAGTCAGCCAAAATAAAACAATTTTAAATTTAAAAATACGTTGTCTTGCTTATCTGTAATATTAGCTTAATGTAATGATGTTTGTAAAGGTAAGGTAAAAGAATATGCTGCCCGAGCTTTCTTCTTGTACGTCTTAAAAGAAAACTTCAAAAAAAAAACTTTTATTGTATTACTAAAATATTTTTTAAGAAAGTATGGGTGGCAAATGATCACATTGATGATATTTCAGGCTAGTTTTCTGAGCGTTCTTTTTCCTCCATCAGTCATGGTTCCCATTTTAAGCTGCAACATTTCTTTAGAATAAGGGTCACAAATAAGCATGTTGTGGCCCTTATATATCTACATTTATCCTTGATTACGAATCAAAATGCAGATGTGTTGTCACATCTGAGAATACTTAGATAAAATACCTCATTTCTTGTAAAAAGGGTCTCCGGTTTTCTACACTCACCATACGAAAGCATTTAGCTGCTATTTTAAGCTGCTATTCTGTAAGAGCATGGTCTTACCTTAGTCGAGCTAACCCATTCATGCTACAACCGTAACATAGCTAGAGCGTAGCTCCACCACGTACAAAAAGCATGGCTTTGTTTAAATCTTAAGACAATCAGTAGATAGAATGTGGACTGACATAAGTAAAAATCTATACAATACAATTCAAAAATAAAGCAAGACAAGTTTTTATGGTAGCATATTTACCCTTTAGAAACGAGATATGATATTATTAATTTTTATTATACGTTTAATATAATTTCTTGTGTTGTACAATTTCTTTAAATTTGCTGTAGAAAAATCCACTACCTTATATCATCCCATGGGTTTCGTTAATGACGACAGCGAGAAATTGAAACAGTTGCAGCGTCTTCCTAATGGTAGCTCAAAGTTTTGAGAAGCTCGCCCGCCAAGCGTAGGAACAAATGTAATGTAAAAAACAATGGTAAATATCCCCTAAAGAAAATTAAAGGAGGAAACCTATATTCAACAGTGGACTACGATAATCTGTAAAGATATTTTTTATTTAGACTGCGTATTACTTACCTTTTAATGCCATTGTAGGTAGAAAAGCTAAAGCTTGTAGCATAGTCCAAAAACAAGATTTTCCGGTCCTCATTTCGCTTACATTAATTTTTTCTTTATTGTCACTCAAAACACCGCATATTTTAACCACTGATTAGTACATTTGTTTCACTCGGACTATTTTTTGATATTGTTTGTAATTATTTTAATAGCTAGTTTCATTTACCAATTACATATTTTTTTAATGATTTTGAAAATAATAATTTATAAAGTACTTGAAAGAAATTCAGAGATAAAAACATTATGTGTACTTATTTTCAATAATTATCACAATTTGGCGTACAGAAGCTGGTTTGACTATCCCAAACTCAAATTATTTATGAATTAATATATTTTTTAAGGAAATAATATTACGGTCTTGATATTTAGGTAATTTGTATTCGATTGCAAATAGGAAAAGGACTTTTGTCTTAAACAGTAGATCATCAAAACAAAGAACACTAAACACAACTTAGAACTATTAGTTGTTTACGAACAGTTCCACACTATTATAAAAGTTCAGTAAATTACGTAAAAGTAAATAAAAAATTAACAAAACTAAGAGTAATTACCTATGAAAATATAAAAACTTAGGGCACAGTGAAACATTTAAAAAGTATTTCAATGCTTTTGTTATCTAATATATTAAGTTGCTTATTCATATAAAAAATATTAATGTATCCATATGCCATCCGGTAATAAATAAATACTATAAGAACTTGCTCTAAATTTATTATTTTAATATTTTTTATCAATTGGTAACCAAGTCTATCGTTTTTATGATTTCTACAGAAAACAATAAAAAAGTCGTTTTTACGTGTGTATTTAAAGAATATTGTAATCTTCACGTTTATATTTTTAAAGAAAATGATTTTATGTCACCAGAATATATTTTGTATATTTTATTTTATCTAACAAAGTGTTATTGCATATTACAAAAATCCTATAAATTCTTGCGTTCACATTCGTCCACAATTAATCACAACCAAAAATACAATTTAAATATTTCATTCACCGTCTTCACAACGAGTCACGATTTTTGGATTCGCATAGCAAGAAACGCGAGTCCAATCCGTAGCGCGTCTCGTAGCACACTGACTGCCTGTAGCGACGTAGCACACAGGGACACAGCAGACACTGTCTACATAACTCGCCGCATGAAAAGGTTACCGCTCAAACGTTTAAACCTTGCGCCTTTTTGCATGAATACGAATGTGTTTTGTTTCCCTGCTACCGTGTTCTATTTTTGAAAACAAAGATGTTTAGACTTTTTACAAAGGAGTATTACACTTTTGTCTCTTCTCTAAAGTGAAAAGCCTTGCTTTGAGAAAGATTGTTGGTTCCGTCTATGTTAAGTTGGATTATTTCTATGAGGTGAAATATAATCCTTTAAAGACTTATTTAGTATATAGTTTATTTTAACCACAAAACAAAAAATAGTAAAAACCAATTATTACTATTTTTTATTTAACAGCCCTACTCCCCGTACTATAGTATCAAATACACATACTCCGTTTTCTCATTGAATTGCTATACTTTTTTACCCTTTGAGTACAAATAATCAGCCTTCTTGTCTCCAGCAGATACTATCAGTGTCACTGCACAAATACGAGTATGGGAAGGAATAAACGTTAAGTATAGAGATATACACTCTTTCTATTTTTTATAATCGTACAAACATTGTTTTTCTCCGTTTCTTCTAGAAGGTGCGATTTTTTTAAAACTTTTTTGGATGAAGAAAAAGTACATAAGAAATTCAGTTTTATGAAATCTTCGTTTAATAAGTAAATAAATTAAATACATAGATTATTTAATACTAAAATAACTGCCATAAAAGATTAAATGACCTCGTTATTCTTTATTTACCATCCCTATTTTACAAGATGAGTAAATTCATTATTTGTCTGTTTTAATTTGTGTAGAAGTTAAATTTGACTATTTTGTCTCTATAAGATAGTTAAAAGTTTTATTACATTGTAGTTTTGTTTTTAGTTGATGTTTTCTGTAAAAATATTACTAGTTTATTTAAGATGATTAATATTTATAGAAACATAATATAAACTCATTCCGTAATTCAGTATAGAAAATAAAATATATTAGATTCCAAACTTTGAAAGCTACTGGAAGTATCTCGCAAACGGCATCTATTTTTCACATTATTGCTGAGAAGCATTCAATAGGAGCCTTTACATTGATGCTATAGAAGCAAGATTCCTTAGGGTATAGCGAGTTCCGTAGCGAAGCAATAAAATTAGCATGCTAAAGTCATAGCTTGCCAAAAAATGTAAATTAAATATTAAATGTTTTAAGATAATATCTGTTATAAACATTTAATATAAATAAAATCACACGTTAATCGTATACATGAAATATTTATTGGTCCAATAATATTTAAAATTAAAAAGTTGAATTATTTAAATATTATAATTTTTGTCATTATAATGTACGCAGATTTAGGGTGGCCTAAGAGCCACCCTAGCCACACCTTAACCTACTGGCACTAAACCATACGGTAATCGTATAAATAAAGAAGTGATCGTTTGATCATCGTATTAACAGACAATCTCATAAATAAATGTATATTGTCTTAATCAATATTGTCCAACCACCACACTCAACTTTCTGCGGTATGGTGGCGGAGTAAGAGATCCCATCACCTCTATTTTCTCCCATGGGTGACATAAGATGCGACGATGAAATATACCAACGAGTTCTTAAAGATTACGATAGATTTTTTTATAGAAGAGGGGGCAAACGAGCATACGGCTCACCTGATGTTAAGCGACTACGGCCGCCCATGATCAACCGCAACACCAGGGGAATTGCAGGTGCGTTGCCGGCCCTTTAGAAAGGAGTAAGCTCTTTTCTTGAAGGTCCCCAGGTATCGGTCCGGAAAAATCGCCGGTGGTAAACTATTCCACAGAGAGGTTGTACGCGGAAGAAAACTTCTTTTGAAACGTACTTGGACCGCCAAGCATCCAGATGGTGAGGATGGTATCGGGACGTTTGCCGCGTAGTATGTTCACGAAATTTGGCGGCTGGGATTAATCCGAACAATTCCTCAGAGCACTCTCCATGGTATATGCGAAATAAAATGCAAAGAGATTCAACATCTCTTCGCAGTGCCAGTGAATCGAGCCGATCGGAAAGCACTCGGTCGTCGACGATTCGAGCCGCTCTGCGCTGGATGCGGTCAAGTGGAAGGAGCTGGTACTGGGGAGCCCCAACCAAGAGATGGGAACAGTATTCCATGTGTGGCCGAACCTGCGCCTTGTAAAGTTGCAGGCGTTGTGCCGGCATGAAATACTGTCCCGCTCTGCTGAGCACGCCAAGCTTTTTAGAGGCCAATTTGGCCTTCTTCTTCCAAGTGACCACGAAACTGCACGTCACTCGATATGTCAACGCCGAGGATTCCGATACTGGCTGAGGCAACAAGGGGAGTGCCTTGAAACTGAGGAGATACGACAAAGGGGTTCTTTTCAGCGGTTAACGCGCAAACTTGTGTTTTCTGGGGGTTAAATTGGAATAGATTTAGTCGCCCCCAATCCGAGACTCTGTTCAGCAAGGACTCGACTTCAGACACAAGTTTTTTCCGGCACTCAGAGACGTTTTCCCGAGAAATATTGGCTCAGCCGGTGTAAAGAGCATCACCATTGCTGTCATCTGCATAGCAATGAATGTTACGGGTTTGCAACATATTATTGATATGCAGAAGAAACAGCGTTGGCGATAGCACGCAGCCTTGTGGAACACCAGCATTAATAGGCTTTCAATCGGAGCTTGCACCGTCTACAACGACCTTGATGCTCCGATCTGCAAGAAAGCTGGTGAGCCGTCTTCCATGATTTTGGGACTACGCCTAGGGAGTAGGAGCACCGGAAAAGACCCTTTAAAACCGGTGCCAACTCTGGAGCACACGTCCTCAGCACAATTGGGGGGATTCCGTCAGACCCACTCGACTTGTGGATGTCCAGGGAGAGGAGTGCTTTGCGAACTGAGCGCTGTGTGACCTGCACTTCCGGCATGGAGCACTCACACCGCGGGATGATCGGCGGCGTAGTCCCCCCGTCATCGAGAGTCGAGTTGGACACAAATAAAGAGCCCAGAAGATCGGCTTTCTCCTTTGCGGTATGGGCCAGTGAGTCGTCCTCCCTGTGCAGAGATGGAAGAGATGGCTGACAGATATTCCCCTGGATAGCCTTGGCGAGAGACCAGAATGCACGAGTTCCAGAAGCAAGGCGAACTAGTTTCTCGCCAATTCTGCCTGTGTGCTCTGACTTTGCTTTAGCAATGACTCTTTTGAAAGACTTTTGACGTTATAACGATCTCGTTTATGTCATGCGTAAAAATAATCAGACCGGCGACAAGCAGCATCGTCAAAATGCTAAACGTCTGTCACATAGAGGACCAGCATTGAGCTTTGTGAACTATGATGATGGTGAACCACTTCGAAATCTACACCATCTGAGTATAGATGTAAAAGTCTAAGGGACACAGCATCCACCTACCATCAGGTGAACTGTGTGCTTGTTTCTCACCCTTAACCTATTAAAATATATGCAATTTTGGTGCGACCACTTTATTAATATTATCACCATCAACATTGTCATTACAGCACTTCACAAGGCTGAATGTAATAGGCCTCCCCCAAAGAATGATACTACGCATGGTCCTGAGTGACCTGCATCCATCGACATCCTGCATAACTTAGCGGGATGTCACTTCATCTATTGGGGGGCCGCCCTACTCTTCGTCTACCGATATGAAATTGCCACTGAAGAACATTTCTTTTTCTATAGAAAACGGGTGGCACACGAGTACATAGTCCACCTGATAGTAAGTGACATCTACATTTATCCTCAGTTTAGAATCAAAATGTAGATGCATTATCACCCCTGATGACTAAGATGGAATGCCTCCATTCCATTAAAAAGTTCCCCGATTCTGTACATTCAACATATGAAACACAGCAGCATTACGCAGTAATTTTACGTTGGTATTCTGTGAGAGCATGTTCCAGCCCCG